CAGCTCTGGCTAAGACTTTCAAAACAATATTGAATAGGAGTGGCAACAAAGGGCATCCTTGTCTGGTTCCCGTTCGCAGAGGGAAGGCTTTCAGTTTCTCCACTGAGTGTGATGTAGCTGTTGGTTTTGTATATATGCTCTTGATTATGTTGAGGAATTCCCTTCAATTCCTACTCTATTAGAGTGTTTTTATCAGGAATGAATGTTGGATTTTGTCCAGTGCCTTTTCTGCATCAGTCAATATGATCATGTGGTTCTTTTCCTTTTTCTAATTTATATGGTGGATTACATTGATTGTTTTTCTAATGTTGAACCATCCTTGCATCCCTTTTATGAAACCCACTTGGTCATGATGTATTATTTTTTTGATGTGGTGCTGGATTCTGTTGGCTAGAATTTTGTTGAGAATTTTTGCGTCTGTGTTCATGGGATATTGGTCTACAATTTCCTTTCTTAGTGATGTCCTTTCCTGGTTTTGGTATGAGGATTATGCTTGCTCCATAAAGTATTAGGAAGTGTTTCGTCCTCTTCTATATTCTGGAATGATTTGAGTAGAATTGGTGATAGCTCTTCCCTAAATGTTTGGTAGAACTCACCCGTGAAGCCATCTGGACCTGGACTTCTTTTGGTTGGGAGTTTTTTTGATGACCTGATCAATTTCTTCTTTTCTTATGGGTCTATTCAAGTTTTCTACTTCACTGTGTGTAAATTTAGGTAGGTCATGTTTATCTAAAAATTACCCATCTCGTCTAAGTTTTTGAATTTGTTGGAGTGCAACTCTATAGTATACTGTTATTATCCTTTTGATTTCCTTTGGTTTCATTGTGACATCACCCATGTGATTTCTATTGCGAGTTATTTGTGTCTTCTCCCTCTCTTCTTTGGTTAGTTTTGCCAATGGTTTGTCAATTTTATTAATCCTTTCAAAGAACCAGCTTCTTGTCCTGTTGATTCTTTCTATAGTTTTTCTGTTTTCTACCTCATTTATTTCTGCTCTTATCTTTAATTTGTTTTCTTTTGGTGACTGTAGGTTCCCTCTGTTGGTCTGTTTCTAATTGTTGTAGATGCTGTGTTAGTGTGTTAATTTTGGTTCTTTCCTCTTTTTGGATGTGCACATTTATTGCAATAAATTGTCCTCTCAGCACCGCTTTCGCCATGTCCCAAAGATTTTGGTATGCATATGATTACAAATTGTTTGTACTGAAGGAAGAAGTTCATGCTGCACTTAAAATATCAGTGAAAAACAAGGCTTCAAGGAATTGATGAAATAACAATTGAGATGCTTCAACAAACATGTAATACTGGAAGCACTCATCTATGTCAAGCAATTTGAAAGAGAGTAACCTGACTTACCAACTGAGAGAGATTTCTATTCATGACCATTCCAAAGAAATGTTACCATATGGAATATGGGAATTATCAAAGAATATCATTAATAATACATTAATTTGCTGAAGATAATTGAAAAACAAATACAAGTATACATCAGTATTGAACTTTCAGAAATTCAGACTAGATTGAGAAGATGACATGGAACATGGGATATATGTATCATTGCTGATATCAGTTGAATCTTGACCTAAAGCAGAGATTTATCAACAAGATATGTACCTATATTTTATCAGTGATACAAAGACATTTGACTATGTTGATCATAACTAAGTTAGGATCACTTTATGAATGAGAATACTAGAATACTTAATTGTACTTAAATGCAATTTATACATAGATCAAGAGGCAGAACAAAGTGATACTATACGGCATGACTAAGATTTTAAAAAGTGTGCAGTAGAGTTGTTTCCTTTTATTATACTTAATCAGTCTGGATGCTGAACAAATAATCTGAGAAGTTGGACTATATGAAGAAGAATGCAGCATCACGATTGGAGGGAAATTTATGTACATTCTACAAAATATACAGATGTTATGATCTCACTTGCTGAAAATGAAGACAACTGATTGTGTTTGAAGCACATACTGGTGAAGTTAGAAACTACAGACTACACTGGACCAGTAAACAATTTTATAATGGTTAAAATATTGACCCTCTCAAGGATTTCATTACTCTTGCATTAGCAACCAGTGCCCATGGTTGAAGCAGTCAGGACATCAAATGATATATTACATTGAGCAGTCTGCTGTAAAAGACCATTTTAAAGTTCTAGAAAGCAAAGCTGTCACGTTAATGACTAAAGTACACCTGACTTCAAATATGTATGAAAGCTGGACAGCAGAAAATAAAACAGAAGTATTGGTACATTTGAATTGTGGTGTTACCAAAGTATATTGAATATGCACCATGGACTTCCAGAAGAAAAAAAAAAAAATCCATCTTAAAGAAATAAAACTGAATGTTCCTTAGAAGTAAGGTTGACAAAACTTTGTCTTGCTTACTTTGGACATGTCATCTGGAAAGACTAATCACTAGAAGAGGATGTCATGTGTGTAAAGTAGGGGATCATTAAAAATGAGAGAACCCCTCAATGAGATGGATTGGCATAATAGCTGCAACAGTAGACTTAAATATTTCAAAGATCATGAAGATGGTGGTGGTGATGTTTTTAGGCGCCATCGAATCAGCTCCGTCTCATAGTGACCCTATGCATGATAGTCTGGCCCTGTGCCAGCTTCTCAGTCATTACACTTGAGCCCATTGCTGCTGCCACTGTGCCAGTCCATCTCACTCGTGATCTTCCTCCTTTTCACTGACCCTCCACTTTATCAAGCATGATGTCCTTCTCCAGGGACTGGTCCCTCCTGATACTGTGTCTGAAGTATCAGAGACATAATCTCGCCACCCTGGCTTCTGAGGAGCATTCTGACTGTACGTCTTCCAACACAGATTTGTTTGTTCTTCTTTTTCACCAGGTCCTAATTATGTTTGTGAACCGACTCCATGGCACATAACAACAACAATTATGTTTGTATTTACATTTTTTGGCTGTAGTAACTTTTCTGATTCTTTTAGATAGAGTTTAAAAGACCCAAGGTTTCTTCTTTGTTGCCTATTAGAAAATACTTTTATTTTTCCCTTCTACTTGATTTGTTTGCTGGGTGTGAATTCTCTGTCCTCAAAATTTCAAAGATTTTATTTCACTGTTTTCGGTAAGAAGTCTGGTATCATATTCTTTTTTTTTTTTCTTTGCAAATACTATTTTTATTTGCTTGGAGGTTAGGGTTTTGTTTTTATCCTTGCTGTTATGAAATGTCACCATATTTTACATAGTTTTGCCTATTTTTCATTTGTTCTGGTACTTCAGTTCTTCACAGGTTTGTTTCTACGATTTCTTTGAGAATTTTCTCTATTTGTTATTTCTACTTTTCCCCCTAAAATTCCTAGTTAGTATTTGAGAATTTTTAGATTTCTTCTCAGTGTCTGCTTATTTTGTGTGTTTGCATGCTGCATTCTCAGAGAGTGCGTTGGTTCACACTTCTAATTGATGGATCATTTTAAGCTATATTTATTCTACTGTCTGGTATCATTTATACTTCTTTATTTCAGTGTTTAAAACTTAAACATTCAAGGTCTTTAGTTTAGTTGGTCTTTCTCTGGATGCGGTACACTCTCAAATCTCTGAAGATATACTTTACTAGTCTTTTTCTGTATCCCTTGCAGTTCCTGTTAGCCTGTCTGTGAATACTGCATCTGCTTCCAGGCACTGTGGGAAGATGTAGGCCATGATGTGCACAGTGGGATGTGCTAAGAGCAACTGTCCTGAGGTTGGGGGTTCCTCTTTCTTTTGTGACCCAGGCATCCACACTCACTGCCCAGAAGGGGTAACAGCAAGGGTAATGGAGGAAGAACTTAAGAGTCTAGCTGTTTTTGTTGTGGAGCCTAGCCAGTTTCCTTAATGTTTGCTCCAAGGCCCCTCCCTACTCTGTGGATCCTGTGGTTCATATACCCAGGATTTTGACACCCCCCCTTTTTTTTTCTTTTTTAACTTTTTATTACCATTCTCTCTGGTTAATTCTTTTCATCTGTTTTTCCTTTTAAATTCATTTTCCTTTTAAAGGAATTTCTTATAGTTACTGATCCCTTTTGAACACTCCTTTGTTAATGCTGTATACCCATTGCTGTGAAGTTGATTCCAAACTCACAGCGACCCTGTAGGGTTTCTAAAACTTTAAAGCTTTACGGGCGCACACAGCTTAATGTTTCTCCCATGGAGCAGCTGGTGGGTTTGAACTGCCAACCTTTCAGTTAGTCCAATGCTTAACCACTGCACCACCAGATTTCCTGAATGCTCTATGGTGGTGGTGGTGTTTATGTGCCGTGGAGTCGGAACTGACTCATAGCGACTCTGTACAGGTTTTCTGAGGCTGTAAATCTTTACAGGAGCAGGAAGCCTTATCTTTCTTCCACGGAGCAGCTGGTAGTTTTGAACTGCTGACCTTAAGGTTCGCAGCCGGATTCATAACCACTACCCTACCAGAGCTCCTTGTGAATGCTCTATAGAGTTTAAAAATTATTATATTTTTTTAGTAATTTGAAGTGCTAAGAATTGACAAATGCATTGCTTAATTCAAGTTCTGGTCAAGAATTCAGCATACCCCTGCATCTTCTATAATAGAACATGCTCATATGTTGTTATTAAGTGCCCTTGAGTTGGTTCTGACCCTTAGTGACCCTGTATAGGGTTTCCAAAGAGCAGTTGGTGAGTTCGAACAGTTCAAACCAACTTTGAGGTTGAGTGTTTATCCTAGAGCACCACACCTGGTCTTTATCTGCAGAGTATTCCCGTATATTCCATATATGAGTATTTCCTCTGTATAGTCAGATACACAAAGAAAAAATAAATCTTATCTTAGACTCTGACATAAATGTGACTGTTTCCTAATACTAATGTTATAAAGGTGTTATGTATAATTAATGTTTCAGTGAGTCTATACATCTCATCCTTTATTTATGGAATTATAGAGTAATAATACTTTTATTATGTAAGTTATTTTTATAAAACATGGATAAACACTCATTTTGGTAATTTTTTTTCTCTTGTTAGGTTTCTGCTAATTCAGCCATTCTAAAAACGCTTCAGTCCAACATTCAGCATGTCCTGATCTATGAGAACCTCGCTCTTCAGGAGAAAGCTTTGATGTGTATTCCTGTCCAAGAACTAAAAAGGAGATCACAGGAAAAGTTATCTAGAGCTAGAAAATTAGATAAAGGTAAGTGACTACATAATCATGCATTGCTAAACCTTCATCACTGCTAAATAAAGGGAAACATTGTAATAGTAACCTTTTGCTGTATACATTACAACTATCTAGCCAGTTTCTACACCCATTCCTTACCAACAAGTTGTTATTTAAAAATCAGCATTATGGAAAATGGAAAATGACACCACTTCACAGAATGAAAGATGACTACATCGTTATATAACTGCCAAATTGCTTTATTTCGTAACTGTCAAGGTCCTCAGAACCATGGCCCAGCCAAACTGACAAATAATCTTAACCATCACATCTGACACATAGGTGTTTAATACTGCAGATGTGTATTGTTAATGCACAAGATAATATATTTTTTACTGTTGTCATGAATACCTATCAAGATAGTAGGTAAGTTAGAAGTAAATGTTTGAAATTTTAAGAAATACTATAATAATATCATTTTATTCCATATATATTAGGCACATGGACTTATCTATTAAATTTTTGTTAAACTTTCTGTTAACCTGAATTTGTATATACAGTTTAAGCATTGTTATGTGAATGTTTTTACGTATAAAACTCTAGACCATGAAATAGTTTCTAAAACCCATTATCACCTAATCAATTCCAGCTCATAGGTACCCTACAGGACAGAGGATAATTGTGTTATAGGATTTCCAAGTCTATAATCTTTATAGGAGTAGACTTACATAGTGGCTGGTGGGGTCAAATGGTTAACCTTTCATATTCTAACTGAGTGCTTAGACTACTGTACTACCAGTGCTCCTTCCATGAAATATGATCTTGTTAATCTGTGATTTTAATGTGAATCTGACAAAAATTATATTCAGAACTGATCATATGTTTAGCCCATTTACTAGTTTTTTAATAGAGTGTGACTTGGAAACCAGCTTCTTGGGTGTCAGTTCTGTTCTGCCGCTTACCATCCACCATTACAAGGCCAGACTGTCCCCTAGTTACAAACATCCAACTTATATACACCCTGAGTTGTGGACCTACTCCCATAAAATATCCAGTAACAGTTCCTGAATCATTAAATGAACTAGTACCAAAGTTTATTGAGAATAGTGTAGAGTTCTAAGTTTGACCGTTTCTACTTCCAACTTTGAATTCACTCTCCTCAGACTGCAATCCCTTATGAAACTGATAAGTCAAGAGAAAGGAAAGTGACATTCCCTGGGCACCAAGCCTTGCAGACACAGCATGAATTAATAGCTCAGAGGAGGCAGCTAGTCAGTCAATGGCACAAGATTTCAAACCTTGCCCGGGTTTTTTCCTCACTGCTGGCTAGTCACACCTCGCTCCCCATTGTTTGAGGTCTAGGCCTGTTGAAGGTCTGCATATGGTGGTAAGTATACTTAAATGACATGGCCATGCAATGCAGGTCAGTCTTGTTGCCCACCTGTCCTGGGCTACACCGCTTGTCCAGTGCCAAGATCTTATACATCTTGTGCAGCTCACTTTCCTAGCTGGATGCCACACCACCCAAATTCTAGTGGCTTGAAGTACATATAGTAGTTCATATTAACAAACAGTTACTACTTTACAACAGACATCAAAGCAGCATATTTTTCATATTACTGGTGTTGCACTGTGAGATAAGCACTGAACCTCAAGGCCATTTTGAACCTCACAGGGTCAGTGGTTCAAACCAGCAGTCATTCCTCGAAAACTGTACAGGGTGCCTATTAGTCAGAAACAATTCAATGACACTTAGCAACTGACAATGTATTATTATATAAAATGTACTTTAGTGTTTAGTGCTTTTTATGCATAGAAATGTACGATGTAGACTATATACTAAGACAAATATTTGACTAACTGATTTTAGATACTACCCATGCCTAAATGTTCGATTTACCAATTCTATTTAAAGACAGATTTAGGAATGAGCTATCTGTAATCCAGGGCTTGCCTATAATTATAAATTAGTAAAACAATCTTTGTTTTTCCTTTTCGTAGTTTAAAGATACGGATGATAATTTCAAGAAATAAATGAGTCAGTATATGTAGATGGCTCAAAACAGTGCCTGCCATGTTCATTACTTAATAATTACTGTTGTTATAAATAGTCTTAGGAGTTTCTACAGTGTTTGTTTGTTGTTGTTTTTTAAGTTTTATTTTATTTATTTATTTATTTTCTTAAATGTTTTATTGTGAATTATGTGATAGTTTACATGGGAGAACATTAATTTTACATTCATTCTATTGTATATCATCTCATTGCCATGGTTACAATCCCCTCCATGGATCACCAACCAACCAAAGGGTATACCCTACAATCCTTCCCTCTGTACCCCCCAGGTCTTCAGCACACAATCGCTCTCCCTCTCTGGATCTAAAGTCTCCAGCTGCTCCATAGCTCCACGCCATCATCTCTGCCTCCATTTCAGGCATCACTGCTTCTCTGGGTAGGGTCCCGCTCTCTGCTCTTCTCCCTTGATGGTCCTAGGGACCTCCGCTCCTAGACTAAAAAGATAATCACTCCCCTCCTTGCTATAAAACATCTACCTTTACATTTCCAACCCTCACAATCAGTCCTGATAACAATTATTCACTGTTGTATCACACGAGACCCATCTGCATTTCATTGCATCAGCCCCGCCTAGACAGATTGAATGCTACTCACTGGAGATTCTACCGTCCTCCAGGCCCTCTGGATCTAGGTTCCCTCTTGAAAGCTTGTAAGCCAGTCACTTCTTGCCTTTGTAGCGTCCCCAACCCCCATTTTGGGTAGCTAATGTCCAAGTTGCCAATCCCTGTCAACTCTTGTGTGTGGAGGTGGTGGGAATGATAAGAAGAGAGGGCATATGCATAAGAATACCCACACTTGCAGATAATACCCACTTATCTTGGCTTCAGTGATTGGATGATCAGAGCTCAACCAGAAGTAAAAAGAAGAGAAAAAAAAAAAAAAGTATTCTCATACAATTTGATGAACTTGACCTACACCTATGGAAGCAGTAGCTCAAAAGAGGGAACAAATCCTTACAGCAAGAATCATTCTCACCCTCTACAGCGTTTTTTACTTCGACTTTTTCTGTAACTGTTTTTTGTCTGTTAGGTCATATCTTAATATTGATTTCTCTGGGGAGATTAATTTTTATTTAGTCTTTGTCCTGGTGCTGATAGGTACCTTCCCGATGGTTCTGACTTCTTGTTGTCATATGTACAATAGAACGAGTTGCTGCTGGTTCCTATTTCATCCTCATAGTCCGTACTGTGCTGTAACCCATGATTGCAGCCACCATGTCAGTCTGTCGTGTGAAGTTCTTCCTCTTATTCACTGACCTTCTACTTCTTTAAGCTTGATGCCAATCTCCAGGGACTGGTACCTCTTAATAACATGTCCATTGTATGTTGAGTTATGAAGTATTGATTCCTTGCTTCTAAGCAGCATTCTGGCTGTATTTCTTCTAAGGTAAATTTATTCATTCTAATGGCAGTCCAAGGTATACTCAAGTATTCTTCACATTCATAATTCAGAGGCATGAATTCTTTAGTCTTCCTTGTTCATTGTCCAGCTTCCACGTGCATATGAGGCGATTGACAATGCCATGACTTGAGTCAGGGACACCTTAATGTTCAAAGTGATGTCTTTATTTTTTTTTAACATTTTGAAAGGGTCTTTTGTAGTAAGCAGGCTTATTCTATGTAATATATCATTTGATTTCCTGACTGCTGCTTCCATGGCATTCATTGTGGATCCAGTTGAAATGAAATCCTTGACAACTTCAAGCTTTTTTCCATTTGTCATGATGTTGTTTATTGGTGCAATTGTGAGGATTTTTGTTTGATATTGAGAGGTAATCCTTATCGAAGGCTGTACGTAGTCTGTGATCTTTATCAGTAAGTCCTCTTCATTTCTATTGTAGGATAGGAGTGACAACTTCCAAGCACTCTATGTGTTGGAACTTGCAGTGCAGGGAATTATTTAATGTCTTTTCTAGCCATAGTCTTGACAAACTACCAGCAAACAACTTTTTCCAGATAGGTCTGGGTAAAAGAAGGTGGGGGGAGATGCTGATGGATTCTATGATTTACTTGTGAGTGATTGTTAAGAAGATTGTGGTTATAAGCATTTAGAAATCTAATGAGGGGATTGATCAATGTTACTGTTCTGCTGGGTTTTAAATGAGCCATCTCAGAAGCAGGAGATGGAGATCTCACTACTATCAAAGAAGAGTTAGGAGTGGAGTGCTTCCTTTGGACCCTGAGATCCTTGCACATTGAACCTCCTTCACCCAAGGACAGAAAGCTGTGAAGTTGGAGGAGTGGCAGAGGAGCAACAGCAGCAAAACCAAGAGTCAGAACTTGAGACAGAGGGGAATACCTCCAAGCACTTAATTCAGTGGAGGGTGGGTTTAGGTTTACTGACCCCTGGAGCTAGAGCCTAGTGCCTTGAGGCTGAAGCATATGAAAAAGTGATGTATTCTCTGGTCATCTTTTATCATCCCTAACAGCTTTATAACATTGGCCAAGCAGAGAGAAGTCTGCCTCTGGGCATAGCTGAGGAGAAGGTATCCTGAATGAAACAATTGTGCCACATTTCAGACCCTGAATTGTACTGTGTTACTTCTCTAATAAACCCTATTACTATGAGCATGGTGTCTGAGTTCTGTGTGGCCATTGCAAGAAATTATTGAACCTAGTTGAGTGGAAAGTGCTATGGAATGGATGGTCTGAAGTGTCACATATTTTAGAGCTCAAATTGAAAGTTCCTGTAAGGGGTGTTCTGACTATATGTCTCTTCCTTTTTTAACCATTAAGTTACTTTTCATATATGTCATTTAGATCTTTTGCTCCTTCTTTTATTTTGGTGAGTCTGTCTTAGTTTTACTATGATGACATTTCCTTGTATTTAATGACCTTGGTCTTAGACTTTCATCTATGGGTCTGTTATGAGATTTTGGACAGTTCCTTATCTTCTTGAATTAAGTTTTGTAAAAAAATTTGTAAAATAAAGTTTTTCAATAAGTGATCACAAAGGCTCTGATCCCCTGGTGGTGTAGTGAGTTACACTCTCAGGGAGAAAGAGACTTTCCATGCCTGTAAAGATTTACACAAGCTTGGAAATCCTATATAAGAAGTCCTCGAAAACACTGAGTTGGAATTGATTTGTGTTTTCAGTTCACCTAACAACAAGGTTATGTCTAGCTTCAAAGTACTGTGTTTCTGTGAAGTCTTATGCAAAAATGGCAAACATTCTGTATAGGGGCATTGGGGTTAGGCCTTGCAGGGGCAACTCAGTTAGTTGTATGAAACAGCTGCAATGGAGCTGGGGAGGATAATTAAAATATACAGACAATTGAATGTAAATCAGGATCCAGCAAATGCAGGAAGCCCAATATAAAAACTATTATTTTGCCAGATGAATAAATTACAATGAGGAACATCTGAAAGACAGAATAATCTTTTTTGTGTCCAGTACATTTTCTCCCTCTTGGCAAATAATCAGGAAATTGTTCAAGGAACTCAGAATCCACAAAAGAGAATATCAGTTAGGTAAATAGTACAGTAATCTTGATGCATTTGTGCATTTATCCTCACAGTGGATATGATCTTGGTAGTGTATTAATAATCATTCAAATCCATTAGCTCCCCATAAAGTTTGGTGATGCTTCTTTCTGACATTTGCCCTAACCTTTTTTTTTTTTGGTCACTTTAATTGTATACATGTCCTTTGTAGAGAATTTGGAAAATGTAAGAAAAACATACTGTCCATAATTCTATCATATAGAAAGACTACTTTCAAGATTTGTGTATGTATTATTGCAGACTTAAAGTAGAGTTTTAGTTAAAAGATGCAGGAAGGAATGCCTCAATTTAGTAGCAGAGGTATTGTGAAAATGGGTAAAATTGAGCTGCTTTTTTAAAGACCATGAAAAAAGAGTCAGCTTTATTACCTAAGATGTCAAAGGACTTAGTAGTGCTGGGACTGGGGATTTTTTTGTGTAGTCAGCAGCATGCTTGGAGGCAGAAAAGTACAAGCTCTATTTGGGGAACAATGAGTAATACAGTCTGGCTGTGGAGAGAGAGGGTATATGTAAGGCAGTAGTGGGAGATCAGGTAGGCTGAAACATATTTTTGCTAACATTGAATTTCAGGCAGAGAAATGTAATTTCTGAATTTATCTTTATACTTTTTAACTTTTCTATAAAGAATTAGAGATAAAAGAGCCAAGGGATATATCCAGTAGAAGAAAAGCAGAACAGAAACAAAGGACTGAACAAATTATGAGGAAGCACATATTTTAACTTTGAAGTTATTGATTGAATCTAAAGCAAGAATATTACATAACCTTGTCAGAAATGAGAAAATACAATGATTTCACAGGGAAGTAAGGTGTCCTTGATTACTTAATCCAGCAAGGATGAACATTGAAATTTTAAGCAAGTGACTTACATCAGAATTATGTATATGGAAAACTAATTCATGATTTGGTAAAATGAAGGAAAATCAAGAGAATATAAGGATAAATGAGTTGAAACAATAGTTAATAGAGTAACTAGAGTATTGAAACCGTAAGGGAGAAGATGGATGCAAGACTTGTTGGAGTGGTAAAATCTATATGGCTCTTGGGATGGCAGGAGCAGTTGATGGGATAAGGAAGATGTCAGAGATGACTTCCTTGTTTTGAATCCGGTGGGAACAGGTTTGAAGGAATATGAGTTTGATTTGAGGTACCTGGTAGACATCAGCTGGATGAAAGCCTGGAACTGTGTTAAGAGGAGGTCAACCCTTGAAAGACACTTTCAGTAATAGGTAAACCAGTGCAAGTGTATGAGATTGCCAAGGTTGAAAAGACAAGGGGTGGGGAGAGACTGCAAAGATTCTAGAAAATAGAGTGGTACCAGCCATAGATAGGAACCCTGGTGGCACATTGGGTTAATCACTGGGCTGGTAACTAAAAGGTCTGCAATTCAAACCCACCAGCTGCTCCATGAGAGAAAGTTGAGGCAATTTACTTCTGCAAAGACTCAGACTTGGAAGCCTTCCAGAGCAGTTCTACCCTCCCCATAGGGTTGCTAGAAGTTGGAATCCACTCGAGGTCAATGAGTAGTGAGTGGGTGGCCACATATGTTATTTAAATTTAAGTAAATTTAAATTAGAAATTGAACTCTGTGTTCACATTAGCTGTTCACATTCACTACATATGGCTAGTGGATACTCTGTTGAACCATGCAAATGCGGATTAGGATTTATTTCTATTATTGCTTGAAGTTCTATTGGATACCACTGCTCAAGAATCAGCTATAAAAGGATATGGGAAAAGAAAGAGGAATCAGTGAAGGGAATCTAATCAAATAAGTGATGTGGCAGCTATACTGTGTATAGAAAAATTAGATTGGGTTGTGAGTAATAATAACTTGACCCCGTGGCAGTTTGGTGGCAGTGGTGATCTATCTCTAAGACATTTTCAGAGACAGAGACCTAGGTGCCTTCTGTTGTTTGGCTCTGCCATACATACTTCATAGTTTGAGATAGGTGTTAAAGTAATTACATCTGTAGACTAGGCATCAGGAAAAAGAAACATCAAAAAGATTGTATTGCTAAACTAAGCTTTTTTTTTTTTTCTACATTTTTTTTTGGAGTCTCACAAAAAGCTTAATCATTTGGCTTCAGTTAGCTACAAATTAAGATAGGACTTGTAGTCTTAGCTGGTATATTGTTATCCCATGTCCATTGTGTAGTGCTCCTTAGTGTTTATATTGTTTTAAGTGCCTTTGAGTCAGTTCTGACTCATAGTGACCCTCTATAGGGTTATCAAGGAGTGTCTGGTGGTTTTTGAAATACCAACCTTGTCGTTAGCAATCATTTTTAAAGATTTTTAAAAATAAGACTTATTTTCGTACCCTCCTCTGTGCGTCAAGATCAGTGCCTGACTGATAGTAGTGCACATGGAGAGGTCATTATGTTTAACTTGCATGTTAATGCATAATATTGGTTTGATGTTACAAAACTGTAAACACCCAATTGTCTTAAAGGTACAGTTGCACATGGCATTGTATTTCTTCCTGGTTCATGATATACTATCATTTGTTCTTACATATATTTGGAAAACTCTTTTAAATAATCTTAAAGCTTCATATATTTCTGCCTTATACTTGAGAATAAAAGATTTATGTGTATTTTGCTACAGAAATAGTGACTACTAATTTTTTCTGATTTAGATCTTACTTGGTTCTTTTTCTCAGGTACTGTTCTCAATGATGAGGATTTTCTTTTGCTGGAACTTTTGCACTGGTTTAAGGAAGAATTTTTTCACTGGGTAAATAACATTATGTGCAGCAAATGTGGTGGCCAGACAAGGTCTAGAGGTGACTTATTATCCCCTGATGCTGATGAGCTGAAGTGGGGTGCAAACAGAGTAGAAGATCATTACTGTGATGTATGCCAGTTCAGCAGTCGGTTCCCAAGGTGGGTATGCACTGGACAATAAATTCATTGTAATCCCTTAGAGGTTGGATATGAACTTTCAATAATTTATTAAATGACCTTTTTCATTTTCATCTTAATTATTAGGAACATATTACTTTAGAACAGGGGTTGGCAAACTATGTTTTAGTGGAGCATAGACAGGCTGCAAACCTTTACGGGAATACAAAGCCTCATCTTTCTCTTATGGAGCAGCTGATAGTTTCTAACTGCTGACCTTGAGGTTAGCACCCCGATTCGTAACCACTATGCTACTGAGCTCCTTATAGTATTTAATAAATATAGTTTTGTTCCTAAGTATAGTACTTAAAATGTACTCTTGGTGTGGTGCTGTAGGATCAGCACTGGACTGTGAACCACAAGGGTGGCAGTTCAAACTCACCAGCTGCTCCTCACAAACCCTATAAAGGGTCGCTATGAGTCAGAACTGGTTTGATGGCACTTAACAACAGCATCATACTTAAAATAATCTCCACATAACGAAGCAAAAGTATAGTATGCTGTTGTTAAATGTATTGAGTCAATTCCAACTCATAATGACCCTGTATAGGGTTTCCAAAGAGCAGCTGGTGAGCTTGAACCACCGACCTTGTGATTAAAAGTTAGCTTTCCATCTAGTGCATTATCCTGCAACGCTATACCAGGACTCCACAAAAAGTATAGTATGGTCATATTGTTCGTAAAGACAGAAGTCTTATAATTAGGATTTTCCTTAACATCATGAAACCTATTCGCCTCTTTCAAACCTTGTATTTTCCTATATCTCTGAATTTTAAACCCAGGAAATACAATCTTCTTAATAAACTAATTGTTGAATTTACAAACCTCTTATCAAATTTTACTAAATTTATAAAATTTGATTATATAAGCAAGGAAGAAAGGGTACTAAGTTTTCTAAGTACTTAATTTGGGGGGCATAGAGATTCAGTTCTGTTAACTAGGAACCAGCGCTAGAGTATTGAGGAGATACAGGATAAATAGAATCTAATGTCCAATAGCTACTTCAATCAGAGCAGACTGTGGAACAACATATGCCCCAGGGTGTTGTCAAAATCTATAAAGCAATCATCTAGCAATTAGTAGAGGCTAACATGTCTGTGAGATTGTCATACTGTGGTGGCTTGTGTGTTGCTGTGATTCTGAAAGCTATGCCACCAATATTTTAAATACCAGCAGTGTCACCCATGGTGGACAGGTTTCAGATGAGCTTCCAGGCAAAAACAAACTAGAAAGACGGAATGACGAACTACTCTGAATATTTAGTCACTGAAATCCTAATGAATAGCAGAGAAACACTGTCAGGTATAGTGCTGGATAATGAGCCCCTCAGATTGGAAGGCACTCAAAATGCTACTGGAGAAAAGCTGCCTCCTCAAAGTAGAGTTGACCGTGATGACACGAATGGAGTAAAGCCTGTGGGAGAAAAGCCCGTGGGACCTTCATTTGCTGATGGAGCACAACTCAAAATGAAGAGAAACAGTTCTAAACATCCATTGAAACTCGGAGCATGGAATATATGAAGTATGAATCGCGGAAAATTGGAAGTTGTCAAAAATGAAATGGAATGCATAAACATAGATATCTTAGGCATTAGTGAACTGAAATGAACTGGTATTGGCCATTATGAATCTGACAACTACATGGTTGACTGTGCCTGAAATGACAAATTGAAGAGGAATGGAGTTGCATTCATTGTCAAAAAGAACATATCCAGACCACTCATGAGGTACAACACTGTCTGTGATAGGATAATATCCATGCGGCTACAGGGAAGCCCAGTTAAATACCACTGTTATTCAAATTTATGCACTTACCACTCACTAAAGCCAGTGAGGCTGAAATAGAAGAATTCTACCAACTTCTTCAATCTGAAATTGATCAAACATGCAATCAAGATGTATTGATCATTACTGGTGATTGGAATGCAAA